ACAAGTTTATAATTTCTGCAATTCATCAGCTACAATATACATTTGAACCACAGATTAATATTGATATGAAGCCTCTAACGTCATAGATGTACTTACAAGTCTTTTTGGGGAGCCGGTTAGGTGGAGAAAAGCAGAGAACACTGCGAGCAAAGTTGAGATCCAACTTCTCCCAATCCACGTAGCCGAGTCAGCTTGGCCGCAATGCGCTCTGGGTAATTTCAAAGCAGATGTTCGGAGGGACAGGTATCTTTCCAATTATGGTGAAAGCATGAAAAATAAGCACTTTTAAATATATTTACCTTTATTTCAAACCTCCAACCTTTACCCTCAACTGTAAAGCTGGATTTGTCAGGTTTGTTTGGCTAAAAAAGTGCAAGGTCAACTCTGGTGTTCTGAATTTTTTAGTCTGGGTGAAAGAATCGACATAAAAAAGTACGAAGGCCCACACGAACAAATCCAAATAGAGGCAAATAAACTTGGTACAGTATACGAGTACGTCTACCATATACAACAGTGTGTGTAAAATTATAGTCTAAGAATTAATATTGTTTCTACGTAAACTATACATACCTTCGACAAGAATATTGTCTGACTGATGGAGTATGAGTGCAGTCTGGAGTGGGGATGGTATATACACAACAACGTAAAGTGTGGCATGGAGAAAACATCTAGCCAACAAACAAAGAAACAACTCTATAGCTCTTTTCGTCTGTAGAGCGACCACGCAGTTTCGCCCTGGTAGGGCATGTTGTTCGAGTAATGAATCAACTGGGAGATGAAGGGCCATATACGACACTTTTTTCAATGATAGAGAAAGACACTGGTCTCGCAGGGACTACTTTAGTGTACACAGTGAGAAACAGGGTGTACCGGAGTAACTTTATCAAACGTACCTCATAGGACTAATCCGAAGGCATGATGATAATAATGATGTAAGGATAAATGGTAGTTGATTATCAAGGACAAGTGGTGTTTGAAGATGTTTACATGGTATACAAAAATGTCACGAAGCTTTATTCTTATATATATTTGCTGCCTTTAATTTTGTTGTTTTCAAATAGAGCAAATGACCCAATCTGCTCAATTACTTACTGTAGTCATGCCACATTAATTTAGATACAAATATTAGATAACAACATGCAAGGAAACCGTATTCTATCATAATATGGAGTATATAAATTCTTGTATAGATTTTAGTAAAATTGATATCCAGATAATATAGGGTCTGCACTATTGCCTAAATATGTATAAGTATAAAATGACAGTAAATTGCATCTATGCAGTTAATGCAGTTTAGAATCATTCAAGCAATAATTAAATAATAATTTGTCAATAATGGACAACGAATTATGCATTCTATATTATATTGTTACAACAGGTGTATAATATATTGTTGTAAGTTCACAACAGTTTTCACTTCTCGTGGTGTCCTACATACATGTATGAGCCAATTTTACTAGAGTATCATTTACTTAACACTATGTTAATATTGTATACAG